GTTTGTGTGTGGATGTGAGTGTGTGGGAGGAGAGCTGTGTGTGTGTGTGCATGTGTGGGAGGAGAGCTGTGTGTGTTTGTGTGAATGTGTGTGAGTGTGTGGGAGGAAAGCTGTGTGGTGTGTGCTTCTGTGTATAGAGTTCAGAGGACAACTTTGGGTCCTGGTTCTCACATCCTCCTGCCTTCTGTTTGAGATAGGGTCTCTCATTGGCAGGAACATCACCACAGAATTCAGGCCACAAAACAGGAAAGCAAGTAACTGATGCAGAAACCTAGGGAGCCCTTGCTAGGGGTGAAGGGCTGTATGGAGTCTCCTAAATGGCCTGTATCTCAGGCAGATTCTGTCATGGAATTGTCGAAAATGTCAGACATGACGAAGCTCCATCAGGCCGTGGCAGCAGGCGACTACAATTCAGTGAAGAAGGTTTTGAAGAAAGGTCTCTGTGACCCAAACTACAAGGATGTGGACTGGAACGACAGGACGCCGCTCCACTGGGCGGCAATCAGAGGTGAGTAGACAGTGCCTCTGCAGATTCTTCCCTCCTAGTCCACCTTCACGAGGCCCTCAGTCTGTGTCAGAGAGTGAGACGGACATTTCTTTAGTGCTGGATGGAGCGGTCCGACCCTGGCATTAACCCTTAGTAGTGATAGCACCTGGACCCTGTTATTTAATGCTTTGGGGGACTCATTCTTCTATATTATGGGGGCAGTAAGGCTGTACTGGAGTTATTTGATGTGGAGTTAGTTAACCTGTACAATGATGAGACTGTAAGTATGCTCTCGGTTCTCTGTCATCATGACTTCATGAACGGAGTATCATAAAGATCAATCCATCCCCACCCCCTCCCAGCATATCGCAGTTATACGACAGGAAGTTAGTGACAAAGCTCGGTCTTTGGAAATTGGGGCTGGACAGATGGCTCAGCAGTTAGGAGTGCTCGCTGCTCTTGTAAGGACCAAGTTCGCTTCCTAGCACCCACACCCGCCTCAAACTCCAGCTGCAAGAGAACCAACAGTTTCTGCCTCTATGGAGCCTACACACATGTGCATGAGAACATGGACATACAAGCACACACATAAATTCAAATAAACTAAATTCTTTTAAGAAAAGTCTTTAGTGTCGGGCAGTGGTGGTGCACTCCTTTAATCCCAGCACTTGGGAGGCAGAGGCAGGTGGATCTCTGAGTTCAAAGCCAGCCTGATCTACAGAGTGAGTTCCAGGACAGACTCCAAAGCTACACAGAGAAACCCTGTCTCGAACCTCCCCCCCTAAAAGGAGAGTCTTTAGAAATAAACATCACAAAATAATGTTAAGCAAAGCAGTACTATAGGCATCTTTGGTTCCAATTATTTGCCTTTCTTGTGGGGAGAGGGATTAGGCAGAAAGTAAGACCAACTGCAAACAACTTTGCAAAAATCTATGTAGGGAGCATTGGTAACTATACCAGTTGACCACTGAGGGAACACTTGTGTGCTGGGCATTGTGCTGGGTGTTTCACATCTGGGAATTTGTCCTCCTCAAGGATTTACTGAGATTAATGGTACAGTCCTGATTTGCAAATGAGGGCACTGAGCATTGTTGTTTTTTTTTTATCCGAGATATTACTTGTTGGTGAGTCTGTCTGATTAAAAAACCTGTGTTCTTGACCTGTGTCAGCTGTGTTCTAAAGATGCTCAAATTACTAATTGTAATGAAATTTGCTAGTGTGTGTTTGTACATGATGTGTATCGGTAGGGTGGTGTGAGGATGTGTGGATGTGATGGTGTGGAGGTCATGTGGAAGTCAGAGGAGTTGGATTTTCTCTACATTATTTTCAGGAGTTGGATTTCTTCTACATTATATAAACTCTGGCTCAGGTCATCAGGCTTGAATGATGAGCTATCTCACTGACCCAAGTCTTAAAGTATTTTTTATTAAAAAATTAATTTATTTTAATGCTTACTAATATTTTTATTATTTAGCTGTATTTTGTTCATATTATTCCTTTTCCCCAAGTCCTGCCAGATCTTTTTCCCCCTCCCTCCTTTAATTCTAGCTCTTGGGAGACAGAGGCAAATAAATCTCTGAGTTAAAGGTCTGTAGAGCTAGTTCCAGAACAGCCAGGGCTACACAGAGAAACCCTGCCTGGAAAAACAAACAAACAAAACCAATACAACAGTGATTCCCCAAACCAAGAAAGTAAATACAACCACACCAAAAAGAAAACTTAAGAACACCAAACCATAAACAAATAAAAGTATACGTGCACGTGCATGCATGCACATACACCACACACACACACACACACACACACACACACACACACATACCCCTGTGGAATTCTTTATTTGTTGGTAAACCAGTCCTGGATACAAAGCTTATCCTGGAGTGGTTGATATACCCAGTATCACTCTTTTGGAGAAAACAAACTTTTCTCTCTCCCACAGGTATAAGTGACATTTGTTAACTTTTTTTCCTAGCTCCCTGGGCTATCTACTCTCAGGTTCTTGGGCACCCAGGCAGTGTTTGGTATGGGCTCATTCTCATGGTGTGGTCTTTAAATCAAATCAGATATTGGTTGGTTACTCCCACAAGCTTTGTGCCACCGTTGCCTTAGTGCATCTTTCAGACAGGACACTGTTGTAGATAACAGGCTTGTGGCTGCCTTGGTGTTCATGTCTCTCTTTTGAGAGCATAAAGAGCACCTTCCTGTACCAAAGAACATAGGGATGAAGGCTCTGTGTAGGCACTGGTTACATGTCTCCATCTTCAATGAGTTGTGTAGGTGCTGTCTTTACCAGTGGGGCCTTGCTGTCAGTTTGTGGAGAGCAACCTATATAGTCTTGGTAATAGCCTGGATTGTTTGGGGATTCCTGTGGACCTCCTTTGACCAACAACTCAATTAGATTAACCCAATACTGGTACTAAAAGCTTTGTCTGGTGATGAGATGGCCAATTAGAACTTTAACCCCCCCTTCATTATTTAGCAATTTCATCTAGATCACCTTCATAGATGTATTTATTTTAGGACATTTCTACCGTATTTAGGTTTTCAAACGCAGTAGTTTAAATGAAAATGGCCCCATGGGCTCATAGGGAGTGGCACTATTAGGAGATGTGGTGTTGGAATAGGTA